CCTTCTTTTTTAAGACATTTCGTAGATCCTATTTGAAACTCGGCCTCCTGACGCCCCAGTTGCTCTGTTGTTTCTCCTCTGCTTGTTCCTTTTATTTTTCTTCTTGCCTTTTCCTGTGTCTGTTTCTATTTTTTTTCTTTTCTTCTACATTTTCCTTTTTTTATTTTTTCATGTAATATACAAAGTTCATGGTGTGTTTATATAAGGAAATGTATGTTGTATATTTGAAGAAACGTTCATCCTATATTAAGAAAATGTTCAACATATTTTTAAAAAGTTCATTGCGTATTTTACAATTTTCAGCGTATATCACCAAAATTTTCAATCTGTATTTAAATATTTGTCAGCACATATCACAAAAAAATCAATGCAAACTAGAAGAAAAAAGAATAAAAAAGAAAAACTGAGAGAAAAAAGTATGCAAAATAGCTAAAAGAAAAGGAAATGAAAATGAAGAGACACCGACATGTGGCCTCCATATGTCAAACAAACGGTTATCTTATGTGCAGGCCCCAACTTTCTGGTAGTATTTTCAAACCTTATCTTGGAAAGTGGTAGTTTTATGATATTTACACAAGTTAATGTAGGTAGTTACCCGACACCCATTCCCTCCTTGGCCTCATCCAATTCAGTAGCAACAACACAAGAAACTGCAACAAATCATGCTAAAATGGACTCCATGAAGGAAATAAATTATGTATATAACCAGCAGTGCACGTGATGCAAAAGAAACAATCCCTTCCCAACTCGTGTGTTTTAACTTATAATATGATTAACAGGGTGCCCAACAAATATATTTTGCTGGTCGCTCGAGTAACAACCTCTTTATATTGGAGTCACTCTACAGACAATCTTTTAATAAACAAAAATTTGCTCAAATATACATAAAACTACAGGCAGTTTGTGAAAAGTTGTTTGGTAAATTGAGCCCACAACTTCTACATAAAATCACCTCTACTACATAGATATGTTGTGAGAAAATTCGGAATTGAGCCTATTTTCTCTACCAGCACCAGCTAAACATTGGTCAAAGACTATGTTAGTAATTTCTTTATCCAATCAAAGGGATCAAGCAGATCTATCGCCTTCATTTTCTATACCAAGGGGTGCAGCTACC